TCTCTAGTCCCAGCTCTTATATCTATATGTCGGACTATGTGCAAATAATGTGACTAATAAGGATAAGACTACAATTAATTGACAACTCGGGTATGTAAATGATAGAAGTCAAAATAAAAACGTAAATATAACTTTTTTTTTTTCCTACCTCAAGAACTTCCTCTAGTGATCAGCCACTTAAACTACCTGACAAGAAAGAGTATTTATATTTAATTGCGGCATGGCATGGCCAGGTAGTTAGTGTGCTCGACTCGCAATCTAAGGGTCACAGGTTCGAATCCCCATCCCACCAAACATGTTTGCCGCTCAAGGCAAAAACTAGTAAGAATAACTGACCATGGGATAACAAAATAATTAATAAAAATGCAACAGAAATACAGACACAGACAACCGATCATGCATGCCCTTATCTGCCGGCTCTGCCCGTATTTTATGTTTTAACGGTTCCACTTTCCATGCTTAATAAGCCCTTACCGACCAACGTGCTTCGAAGGTCGGGCTTGAAAAAAAAAACTCACCCGGTATGTCTAAGACGAGACGATCGTTTCCTGTTCTACTACTATAGTAACAATTACTCTATAAAGATACATCACTTCCCCCATGTTGATCACGTGCGAAGATTTGAGGGTAAGAATTTCAAGTTATTTTCTCCTTCGATTTTGAAAGTAATAAAGATGTCATTACATGCTGCCATGGTTACAACTATTGGAAGACTTCCTGAAGAAGGAGTTTCACATAAATCTATACATTTAAAACTTTCAAAATATACGAATAGTAATCGTTTGATATGGCCTTTTGGTTCTTTAACAAAGGAATTGATATGGCCTTTTGGTTCTTTAACAAAGGAATTGATATGGCCTTTTGGTTCTTTAACAAGGGAATTGATATGGCCTTTTGGTTCTTTAACAAGGGAATTGATATGGCCTCTTGGTTCTTTAACAAGGGAATTGATATGGCCTCTTGGTTCTTTAACAAGGGAATTGATATGGCCTCTTGGTTCTTTAACAAGGGAATTGATATGGCCTTTTGGTTCTTTAACAAAGGAATTGATATGGCCTTTTGGTTCTTTAACAAAGGAATTGATATGGCCTTTTGGTTCTTTAACAAAGAATACGATGATAAATTACTGGATATATTTTCTAATACAATTTAAAATGAAACAATAACTGAACTGTTTTTCAAAAGGAATTAAATCATGACTAACTTAACTGTGTTTACAATTTTAGTTAAAATGATCATCCCAAATGTTTTTAACGTTAAACTGTCAAGCACAATTGCTTGTTAATGATTTCAGCAATATTATATCCAAATGATATATCGATAACGAAATTTGTCATGACTGCCATTTTAAGTCTGTATGGTTGTTATTATTAAGACAACACTCTCTAAATAGTGCAAATAGCGAGTGTACTGTTTTTTTTGTGCAAATAGCGAGTGTACTGTTTTTTTTGTGCAAATAGCGAGTGTACTGTTTTTTTTGTGTGCAAATGGCGAGTGTACTGTTTTTTTGTGTGCAAATGGCGAGTGTACTGTTTTTTGTGTGCAAAT